GCTGCCTCCTACACACACCCCACTTGGAATAGAGCCTGCAACCCAGGCATGTGTCCAGACCAGGAATTGAACCTAGACCTTTGGTTCATAGGTTGAAGCTCAAGCACGAGCCACTGTTGCCATTTTATAACATTTATAAAAGAAGGAATCTGAAAAATGAAAGTGTAGTAGAGAGTTCTGCAATATTAAGTAAATAATCAAATCCATTGAAAACTTTTAAAATTCTATGCTGGCCCTGGTCGGTGTGGCTCGGTTGGGCATTGTCCCATGCACTGAGGGGTTGTGGGCAGAATTCCTAGTCAAGGCACATTCCCAGTGGCTGACTCAATCCCAGTGGGGCGGGGCATGTGGGAGGCAGCCTATCAATGGTTACATATCTCTCAATGATTTTTCTCTCCCTCTTTCTTCTCTTCTCTAAAAATCAATGAAAAACCATATTTAAAAAGAAATAAATAAAATTATACATTGCAAATTCTATTCTAATGATATAATCCATTCTAGGTTTAAGAAAAGTTTTTAAAATAATTATTCAATTCCAATGAAATTATCCTAAAAGAAAACAACAAAACTAGACAGACAGATATCCTAAATTGAAAATCATTATATACAACAGCTACTGTCATTACCAATAAAATGTTTTAAAAAAATGGAATCACTTAACCAAGGAGGTAAAAAGATCTGTACTTGGAAAACTAGAGAACATTAAATAGAAAGATAGAAGAGAATATAAACAAGTGGAAGAATATACCGTGTTCATGGAGAGGTAGCATTAACACAATTAAAATGTCCATACTACCCAAAGCAATCTATAGATTTAACGCAATCCCTATTAAAATACCAATGGCATACTTCACAAATCTAGAACAAACACTCCAAAAATTTATATGGAAACAAAAAGACCCCAAATAACCACAGCAATCCTGAGAAAGAAGAACAAAGTTAGAGGGATCACACCACCAGTTATCAAGCTATACTACAAAGCCACTGTAATCAAAATAGCCTGGTACTGGCACAAGAACAGACATATAAATCAATGGAACAGAACAGAGAACCCAGAAATCGACCCACGCCATTATGCTCAATTAATCTTCAATAAAAGAGGCAAGAGTATACAATGGAGTAAAGACAGTCTATTCAATAAATGGTGTTGGGATAATTGGACAACTATATGTAATGATATGAAACTAGACTTCCAACTTACACCATACACAAGAATAAACTCAAAATGGATAAAAGATTCAAATGTAAATTATGAAAACATAAAAATCCTTGAAGAAATCATAGGCAGCAAAATATCAAACATCTCATGTTGCAAAATTTTCACTGATACAATGCCTAGCGGAAGAGGAACAAAATAAACCGACAAACAAAATGGGTGCAGAGGCAGGGATTCATGGGACAGACTGACATACCTCAGAGGGGAAGTGGTGAAGGGTACGGGAAGAGATTAACCAAAGAACATATATGCATAACCCATGTATATTGATAATAGTGTGGGGAAGGCCTGTGGTGTGGTGGGGGCTGGGTGGAGTGGGGCAAGTGAGGGTGAAATGGGGACATCTGTAATACTGTCAACAATAAATTTTGAAATAAAAGCTGTCTTCTGTGGACATGAGAACTCTGCATGTAATCTTTTTAAAAACAAATTTAATAAATTTTGTACTGTTTGTAACACTTCAAAAAAAGAAATTCTAAGGTTGACATTTTCTATATTTATTAATTTTTTAACAAATACAACTATAATTTCTTACACTGGTCAACATTTATAAATATTCATCATGCCTGAATTATAGGATGTTCAGTTAGTTTTTATGCTATGTAAGCTTTGTAAATAAAGGTAAAGATGTGTTATCTTCCTACTGAACCTAAAAAAGGTATGTTAATTTTTCAATACAGTTGTTTTAACTAAATAATATTTTCAAATTGTGTAAAATCAAAATAACCAAGGGCTATTTTGTTAATATCTACAGATTTCAAACTATTTTAAGAGGGTACTTTATTTTCATGGTTATCTTTCAGTGTCTATCAAGAATATTTCTAGAATTACTCAAGTTTTGCATCTTCAAGAGATTAATAAAATATAACTTGAAACCACAAATGTATTCCCGTACTAGAGTGTTTAGATAATTATTACACTACTAATAATTAACTGGATCAGGATACATATATATATATATATACATACACACACACACACAATAGAGTACTATTTAGCCATTGAAAAAATACATATCCTACATTTGCGACCACATGGATGAACCTTGAAGGCATTATGATAAGTAAGTCAGACAGAGAAAGACAAATACTGTATGATCTTACTTCTATGTGGGAATCTAAAAATATTAAATTCAAAGAAACAGAGATCAGATTGGTGGATGCATGGGGAAGGGGGTGGGGGATGTAGGGACAGGTGGTGAAAGGTACAAACTTTCAGTTATAAAGGTAAATAAGTTCTGGGGATGTAATGTACAACATGACTATAGTTAACAAGTATTACATATTTGAAAGCTGCTTAAGACAGTAGTCCTTAAAAGTTCTCATCATATGAAACACATTTAAAATTATGTGAGTTGAGCAATGTTAACTATTTCAAGTGATGGGTGTTAATTAAACTTATTGTGGCAATCTTTCTGTACACACATACACACACTAGAGGCCCGATTCACAAAATTAGTGCAAGAGTAGGCCTTCACAGCCTTGGTGGCTGCCTTGATCCTGCCCTCGCAGCCAGGGCAGCTGCCTTGATCCTGTAGCTGTAGCCCTGGCTTCATGTGGAAGGTCATCCTGAAGGACGTCTGGATGACCGATTGGTTAATTTGCATATTATGCTTTTATTATTATAGATAACCATTATGTCATATACCTTATCCTATCTAATAAAAAAGAAACATGGTAATTAGCGTACGACCGCTACCCTTCCCATTGGCTAATCAGGGCAATATGCAAATTAACTGCCAGCCAAGATGGCGGCCGGCAGCCAGGCAGCTTGAAGCGAACATGAGGCTTGCTTGCTTGCTTCAGTGACGGAGGACTCCAACGTTCCCCGCCTGCCGCTGTAGGCCTCTGAGCTGCAACTCTAAGCAACTATGTAACAAATATAGAAGCTAAACAAAACCCCAGAAACCTGCTTTAGTCCGCTGGGCTTCAGCCAGCAGGATCGCAACACTGTTTCAAATACAGAAGGTAAACAAAGGCCAGAAACGTGCTTTCAGCAGCGGAGGCCTAAGAGCTGGAGCCAAGCCTCAAAGCTAAAGCTGGCCCAGAATAAAAAAAAAAGAAAAAAAGGAGTGGTTGGGAGCTTCAGTCACCCGCCAGCCTGAAAACAGCCCTCAGCCCCTCACCCAGGCTGGCCAGGCACCCCAGTGGGGACCCCCACCCTGATCCAGGACACCCTTCAGGGCAAACCAGCCGGCCCCGACCCATGCACCAGGCCTCTATCCTATATAGTAAAAGGGTAATATGCCTCCCAGCACCGGGATCAGCGGAGCCGAGAGGCGTTCCGGCACCAGGATCAGTGTGACTGGGGGCAGCGCCCAAACCCCGATCGCCCTGCGGCTCTGTGTGTGACAGGGGGCGGGGCCACAACCTCTCTATCCGCCCTGCTCTGTTCGTGACAGGGGAAGGCGCCCCTACCCCCTGATCAGCCCTGCTCTGTGCCTGATAGGGGGAGCTCCCCAACCCCCTGATTGCCCTGCGGCTCTGTGTGTGACAGGGTGTGGCACCCCAACCCCCTGATCGGCCCTTCTCTGTATGTGACAGGGGGCAGCGCCCCAAACCCGATCGGCCCTGCTCTGTGCGTGAAAGGGTACGGAGCCCCAATCCCCCTGATGGGCCCTGCTCTGTGAGTGACAGGGGGCAGCGCCCCAACCCCGATTGGCCCTGCTCTGTGCGTGACAGGGGGTGGCGCCGCAACCACCCCATGGACCCTTTGAGTGTGACAGGGGGCGGTGCCCCAATCCCCCAATCGGCCCTACCCTGAGCATGACTGAGGGTGGCATCGCAACCTCCCAATCCGCCCTGCTCTGTGCATGACAGGGGGCGGCGCCCCAACTCCCCAATCGGCCCTGCTCTGAGCCCGACCAGGGGCTGCACCTAGGGATTGGGCCTGCCCTCTGCCACCCGGGAGCAGGCCTAAGCCAGCAAGTCGTTATCTCCCGAGGAGTCCCAGACTGCGAGAGGGCACAGGCCAGGCTGAGGGAACCCCTCTCCCCCTCGAGTGCACAAATTTTTGTGCACCGGGTCTCTAGTCCTATATAATAAACGGCTAACATGCAAATTGTCCCCTTGACCGGGAGATCGACCAGGGGGCGGGGCCAGCTGACCAATTGCCCACAGCCCCTCCCCCTGGCCGGCCCGACTCCCAATTACCCCCTACAACCGTGATTGGGGGTAGGGCCAGTTGGCCAACTGCCCTTGGCCCCTCCCCCCAGCTGGCCCCACCCTTGATTAGCCACCCCCACCCTGATCAGCGAGGGCCGGCCTCATGCACCAGCCTCCAGTACTTATATAATATGTCAATTATATCACAATAAAACTAGAAAACTACTCATGTACTTATTAAATCAAATTTGTACCTCTATGCATACATTGATTACTACCAGATTTTCCTATGAACTGTAAAATAATGACAATTGGTTCTATTAGTCATCTTTCATTATTCGCTGTGATTTTTTAGTAGACAGCAAATTTAAACATAACTTAACAGGATTTTCCTGTTTTCTGTATATAAGCATAATTATTATAATATTTAATAAACTAGTCTTTCTCATTTTTGGTGAGGACAATCTATATTATAGAGTCATTAGTTTTTCAAATATCCCTTACAATTTTATGCCAGTTTTCTACCTAGTAATATTACAAATCTGTAGTTCTCAGCTTAATATAGTAGTAGTGGAGTAAGCATACTGCTCACTATTTGGTGTAAATCATCACCCTACTTTACATTATTAACACAGCTACCCAGGATAATGTTAGCAATTGAAGTAAAAAAGTATACTTACTCAGTTATAATTTCAGAATTTGTAAAGTTGAGGTTGGTTACATGACCTTCAAGTTTAGACTGTTCATGTGTATTTAAGGCTGGAGTGGTCTTGGTGGCAAGTACAGCTCTTTTTTTATCTTTTTCAAGTGCTTTTCTCTTTCCACCATTTTGAAAATATTCTCTGCATATACTACAAGGAAAATAAAGTTATATTTAAAAACACTAAGTATGAATATAAAATAAAATGAAGAAATATCAGGCTTTATTACTCAAAATGGGACACATTAAAATTACAGATTCCTATTTTTAAAATGTCACAGAGAGGTTAAGTTTGAGAATCTTGTAGCAATTTCACATTTTTTAAATTATCATATACAAAGCACAATCATAGATTATGTTGAATACATAAAAATTATGCTTGCCCTGGCTGGTTTGGTTCAGTGGATAAGCATCGGCCTACAGACTGAAGGGTCCCAGGTTCAATTCCGGTTAGGGGCACATGCCCCAGTTGTGGGCTCAATCCTCAGTGGGGAGTGTGAGGGAGGCAGCCCATCGATGATTCTCTCCCATCATTGATGTTTCTATCTTTCCCTTCCTCTCTGAAGTAAAAAAATAAAATACACACACACACACACACACACACATACTCTAGAGGCCTCATGCACAAAATTCGTGCACCTGGACCATGTGTGTGGGGGGGTCCCTTCAGCCCAGCCTGTGCCCTTCTTCGCAGTCTGGGAGCCCTCAGGGGATGTCCGGCTGACGGGGAGCAGGCCTAAGCCAGCAATCAGATATCCTTAGTGCTGCCGTGGAGGTGGGAGAGGATCGCCAGCTGTGAGCCCAGCTTCTGGCTGAGTGGCGCTATCCCTGTGGGAGCGCACTGACCACCAAGGGGCAGCTCCTGCATTGAGCATCTGCCCCTTGGTGGTCAGTGTGTGTCATAGCAACTGGTCATTCTGCCATTAGGTCGTTTTGCATATTAGCCTTTTATTATATAGGAAGGTATGTATATTTATATAAAATATGCTTTTCAGGAACACAGATGTGTTCATATATATTGCTGAACTTTATTCTTAACTGAAACATAAGTTCTTCCAGAAAAGCTTAGATAATTCTGCTATTCAGCTACAGCTTACAAAAAAGAATAGTAGTCGCAGTTAATTATGAGCCAGTTATGCTGGTATTAGACAAATATCCCAACAGTTATTTTTCAGGTCCCTTCTGGTTTATGACAGTCAGGTTGTTAACACATTCAGAATCACTTCTTATTTGCTCTGAAAGAAGGGTATAAAAATCTAGTTTAGGAAGAATAGTATCATTTCATAAAGGTATACATTCAGACAGAACAAAGGCTTAAACACAGTAGTGGTTTTTATAACACTTGAAAATTATTTCTGTGTATCAAGAGACTATTCCTGCTAGTCCCAATTCCTATACTATTAAAATGCAGACTTTTCAAGATGTATCATTTTAAACTCATATAGTATAGCCATATCAGGTTGCTATCCAGAATCAGAAACTGGTGACTGGCAAAACCTTAAACAACTTTTTTGTACCTAATATAATTGTAGGGTGAATACAGCAGGACACCATGCCTGGGTATATAATAGAATAACAAACATGAACCAAAGAATCAACTCCAACACTTATTAGCTATTAAAGCCAAGAAATCTAACAGAGAAAAAAAAAAAAAAAAAAAGACCAGTAAGACCTATTTGACAGGAAATACACACTTAAAAGCAATTATCGGATATACTTACCAAAGCTACTTAAAGTGAAGGAGAATGGAACCTAAAATAGTCTTTCTTTTTAACTTCTTAGAATAAATCACATTATAGTTACATATAGCTCATACTTTGAACAAAGCTAGACTTTTTTGTTCTATAGACACTCCCTGGTGAAATTCCAAAAACACATGGTAAGAAAAGTAAGAATTGAGGAATTAACTTAAAACTGATTTCTGCAAAACTGATTTCTGCAAGTAGAACTATGGTCTAAGCATGGAACAATGCCCAGTTCTCCTCATATTAACAGTATGCTATTAATTCAAACACAATTTTTATAGGTATCTATTATTTAAGACGTCTTTAACCCATCCTACTGAGATTTAGTTTTAACCCTAATTACATACAGGAATTGAAATACATTCATCATTAATTAAACATATATTAAGTACCTATCATGTGCCAGGCACATAGGTTACAGGACAACAAATTGAAGAAGGCATAACTGCCTTCAAGAAGCTCACACTAATGAAGGAGACAAACAATTTATATAACGACTAGAGGCCCAATGCACGAAATTCATGCAAGGGGGGCGGCCCTTGCAGCCCCAGCTTCGTCCAGAAGGTTGTCCGGAAGGTCGTTCAGCTGTCTGGTCTAATTAGCATATTATGCTTTTATTACTATAGATAAGGAAAATACAAGTAATAGATAAAATATAATTGATAAATTCCAAACCCACTCTAAAATCATTAATATAATTTTTGAAAACTGAGTAGGAATAAATCAAGCAAGGAAGAACATTAGTTAAGGAGAGAAGTGCTTTCCTGGCAAAGAGACTAGCATGAACAAAGTCATGAAAGAAAAAGCAGCCTGGATCCTGAAGAGATGGACATCAGTTCCAAGTGTGTGAAATTTAAAGTGACAGGCAGAAAATGGGTGGAAGGATGGACGGACGGACGGATGGATGAACTCACAGGTGAAAAGGCCATGAGGCCAATACACATACTAGGTGTACCAGTTAATGCAGATTTTGTAATAAAAGAAAACATAATTTCAAGAGAAACATCAAAAATGCTTTATTCAAAGTAATGTCCATCGCTAGCTACACATTTCCACGATCTTTTGGTAATTTGTGGATACCACCCCAACAGAACTTTTCTTGTTTTGAGACAAACCACTCAGAGACCCAATTTTCCACTTCTTCGTACATTTTGAAGTGCTGCACAGAAAGTGCGTGTGCCATTGATCGGAACAAGTGGTAATCTGAAGGAGCAAGGTCTGGTGAATACAGCGGGTGGGTTAATACTTCCCAGGCAAGATCTTTTAACATGTCCTTAACTGGTTTTAAGTGTGTTATGGTGTGTCATCATGAAGCAAAATTACTTTGCTGTGTCTTCTGTCACATTCTGGTCATTTCACCATCAAAGCATGGTTCAAATTGATTATTTGTTGTCAGTAGTGATCAGTATTAATGGTTTCATCTGGTTTTAGACGCTCATAACACACCACACCTTCTTGATCCCACCAAATGCAGAGCATTGATTTCTTTCCAAAGCGGTTTGGCCTTGCAGTCGATGTTGATGGTTGACTTGGATCAACCCATGATTTTGGGATTCTCAAAATAAATCCACTTTTCATTGCCAGTCACAATTCGATGCAAAAAAGATTTTCTTTCATGCCATTGAAGCAACATTTTACTGATGACTTTTTGGTTTTCCATTTGTCTTTTGTTCAGTTGATGTCGCACCCATTTTCCTTCCTTTATCTTTCCCATTGATTGTAAATGATCGGAAATTGTTTGCTGAGCAACGTTTAATCTTTCTGCAAGTTGTTTTTGAGTTTGACATGCATCTTCATCCAATAATGCTTGTAACTGTTGGTCTTCAAACTTTTTTAGTTGACCCTGATGTTCTTTGTTTTTCACATCAAAATCATCACTTTCAACGTGTCTAAACCAGTGTTCACAAGTATCTTACGATGGACCATATTCACCATATGCTTCCTGAAGTATTCAGCAGCATTTTTCTTCAAAATAAAGTAATGAATTAAAACTTCCCGAAAATGCTCTTTTTTTGGCACAAAATTTGACATGTTTAAGTGTAAAAATATTTATGAAGTTAACACCTTCAGCAAATTTGACATATGAAGTTTTGAAGCTTGCTGTCAATACAACAAAATAGCATACATATCAAATCACATATATATCAACATATGTGTAACTCCATCTATTGAAAAAATCTGCATTAACTGGTATACCTAGTGTACAGAGAAGAATGATAAGAAAGCTTCAGATCATGCAAGATCCACAGGCCAATTTAGAAATGTAGCCTTTAGAAATCTAATCTCACTACAGAAAGTGGTTTAGTGGTTTCCTGTAGTTGAGGAAGGCTCTGACTACAAAGGTAAACAATGGAGCTTATTAGAGTTATGGAAATGTTCTATATCTTGATAGTGTTAATGCTTACATAAGTATAAACAACTGTCAATACCAACTAAATGTACACTAGAATATAAATTAAACTTCAGTAAAGTTGATAAAAAAAAGTGTAGCCATTATCATCTTGGAATTAATACTAAAAATAATGCCTTTAGCACAAGCATGTCAAACTCAAAGGATAACATGGGCCAAATGAACAAGGTTTAAGTTTATGTGGGCCGCAAAAAAACAAAAGCTTCAATTTTCATAGAAACGTAGGTTTATTTCTATAGAGACATGCTGAATACAAAGGGCTGAAATAAATGAGTAATCATTAACATAAAATAGAACATTTTAATAAAAATTAATATTTTTTTCTTGAACATTAACTTACCAGTCACTGAATAACTGCACAAATTAATAAGCGTAACACAAATAAACCTATTTTTCTTGTTCTCTGAAAGCAAAGTATTTCCTGTTGTGCACATCAAATAAGTCAGTACAAGACTAATGACGTGGCTAAAATTTTCGCTACTAGTATTAGTAGAGAGAAACGGAGCACCTGCATGTAAGGTGCATAAGGGAAATGAATGCAAGACGATTATAGTAATCAGTCATAGCAAATGTTGTAGTTCATTATTAGTAATTATGTATTACAGGATATTGTAAAAACTAAGTTATGAAATTTTTATTAAAATGTTTCTTACATACAATTATATTGGGTGGGTTGCAAAAATATTCATTGTGGTCTGCATGAAGCCTGTGGGCCGCGAGTTTGACATGCTTGGTGTACTTGTGTACTTGTACCGCAGCTTTTTTATCCAGCGTGTCTACTGATGGGCACTTGGGCTATTTCTAGATCTTAGCTATTGTAAATTGTGCTGCTATGAACATAGGGGTGCATATATTCTTTCTGATTGGTGTTTCAGGTTTCTTAGTATATATCCCTGTAAGTGGGATCACTGGGCCAAATGGCAGTTCTATACTTAATTTTTTTGAGGGTTATTTTTTAACCTTTATTGAGAGTATTATAGATGTGCTCCCCTCCCC